GTCTGGAAAAAAAAATTGGTAGGGAAGCTACTGCACAGTCATTTAGTATTTGGTTATGCAAGTACTAAATGACTGTGCAGTAACAACTACGCAGTCCACCGCTCGTGTAGACACAGCCAGAGACTATCAGTGGTGGAATTGCTAGCACCATAATCTTGTAAACCATGCTTCATGTAGAGGCAACAGCAACTTTTGGCTCTATTGGTAACACTCATGGCAGTGCCTAAGAATGTGAGTTTAGCTTCTTCACTTGGACTTGCTCTAGTCTGGCATGTTAGTGCAAGAGTCACATCTTTTGCACTTATGCTTATTTTTTTTAGTTGATAAAATATGATTATCTAACAGTCTCTAAATTTGAATCCTCCCCAGGCCTTCAGATATCACTTGAGGCGAGAAAAGGACTCCCCCATTGCTCTGTCTCTTACTGTTTAACTCAGTGACTGCCTTGTTAACAATAATCATAAGCTGGAGAACCACAGACCGCTTTTCCTCTGTTCGCTATGATTTGGTCTGTCCAGCGTGGGTTAGTGCTCGCTTGGCATGGGCAGATCTAGGATTTCGAAAAGCGGGGTGCACATAGTGAGGTTTATCATCACATGCAATAGAACACACACTTTTCTCCAGGTAAAAAGAAACTAGAAGCTTTACTAATATGCTAAGGGATTAGGGCTATATTATTCAGTTTAAGATTGAAGAAAAAACAAATATAGTTTTATTGGAATGTGTTGCTATATCATGCATTAAGTATAAAAAACAGAATAGGCAAAAATAATCAAAAGATGCTGTTTCTTTAGTTGTATAGCCCTTAGAATTAAATGTACATCTCTTTCAGAATCATAAAACAAATTCAAGCCTTCTTGGGCATCTTGACACTGCATCTAATGCTTCACTGAAAGTTAGTTCCACAGTTAAGTTGATGTTTTTAGCTAGAGTTAAAAACAGTCTGCAGGGTTGTAAAATGGGAGCTACATTACCAGGAGCACCTAACAGGCACCATCATTGCAGAAGAAAGAATGGCTCGATTGGTGGAAGATTAGGCCTCTTAGAGGACAGAGGGTCATTAACACCTGTGGAATGAAGAGTTTAGAAGGAATCCGGTGGATTACAATGAGCTGTGAAGTCAAGTAACTCCCTGGCTGCTGTCTGAATAGAAATGCAGCTGCTACTGCCAGGTAGTTGGTTTTAAACTTTGGGTGGAGCAGGAATCAAAGGGGGCTGTGACTGCATCACTGCAGCCCCCCTGGATCCACCCCTGCCCCTTGGTGATAGCTTTCAGGGTTGCTGGGATACTCACACCTTTGCACCTCACCAGGGTGCGGTCTGTAGGGGAAGAAGCTGTAAATCCTTGAAATAAATTTAAAATTAATACTCATCTGCTGATAATAATAGCCCATCACATGGAGGTATCAGCCCAGTGACGACTGTCCACATGGCAGTTAAAAAAACAAAAAGGGG